CTTCTTCTTCTTCTTCTTCTTCTTCTTCTCTCTGCTTCTCTTTCCTTTCTTCTTCTTTCTCTTTCTTCTTCTCTCTGCTTCTGCTTTTCTCTGCTTCTGCTTTTCTATGCTTCTGCTTTTCTATGCTTCTGCTTTTCTCTGCTTCTTCTTCGCTCTGCTTCTATTAATATTCTCATAAATATTCTCATAAACTCAGTTATGTAATCAAACATTGTGCGAGGTATCGAAATTAAATAATTCTACAATTCTATTATCATACAATTCTTTATTTACTGCTCAGAAAAGTATCGTCAGTTTTTTTAGTTGAGAATCTTTGAATTTCTACTCTTCTCTAGTGAAAAAATCGTCGAGTGCAAAGGGTTAAATATAATATACAATTGAATAGTTGAAGAAGCAATTGTAATTGATAATTGATGGAATGAAATTTATTTTTGGAGTCTTCCAATATTCACTTTATTATATATATTTAATGAAAATAATAAAACTGATGTGTGTTAAAAGTGACTGCTGAAACAAGAGTGATTAGAACAAAAAATACAACGTGCAAGGTAGGCCCACAAAGCCTAGATGGCTTCCAAACTAAATCTATTATAGTATCTCATTATTATTATTATAACAGATGCGGTTAATATGATTCTAACAATAACAAAATTCTTAAAATTAGAAAATTTAATATTTAACAATAAAGCTATTAAAATAAGAATTATGCTATAAACACCGCCTCTGGTACGAAATACTTATGGACACTTACATTCCTTTTATGTATTTCCATAAGTGTACATTCCTCTAATAATAAACTTTATATATTGTCCACTATGTAACTATATACGGTTTGTTCCCTGCACATAGCAATAAACTCTCAATATTTCAATCCAAAAATTATAACAGTATTTTTCGTATGAGGCTGATTATGTCGTCGAAACGGTATTTCCTATGAGACTGATCTTGCCTAAGAAATTTCAAGGCTTAACGAATTAAAAAATTATACTGTTACTAGTCTTCGAGAATTGGTTTTCGAATATCGAATAACCAGTAAAGTAAAATTTAGTAAAATTTAAATTTATTACTTTTTTCATTTGCCAAATCGAATAACTCTTTCAGTAACATAACTAACGATTACCTGTTGGCTATTTTTTCTTATAAATTTTATATACCGTTAGTTGAAAGTTACATTTGTATTTATGCATTCTACGATATTTATTTCGATTTAAATTATAAAGGGAATTTTAAAAAACAATATACGTTATTTCATTGCATTTCTCCACTTTTTCTTTTATGTAGTTAATCAATTTGTGCAGTGAACGGCTCATATATAGCTTCTAACTAGTAGACAGGAGTTGGAATCTAGTGGATTTAAAACTCAGTAATAGGACCTTTATGACGAATTTATTTGTTTATAAATTTGCTAAATGTTTTTATGACTAATTTACTTATTCTGAAATTTTTTAAATGTTTCTATGACTAATTTATGTATTTACATATTTCTTTTATATTCTTCTGGCTGATTTATGCGTTTATCATTTTTTTTATACTTTTATATTTTTATTAAAGATTGTATCCAATCTTGGTCGATATAAAATAGAGTAATATGAAAGTTTCAATGTATAGATTGTCTGTTCTCTAGATTTAAATCCATTGGCATTTTATTTATGGAGATATACAGGGTGTGGCATGTAACTGTCACTATAATTTATTAGACATTCCTGATTGTGGGATAAAAATATGTGTCCAACAAAAATGAATCAGTTTTTAGTCGGCTATAAATTGTACGACAAAAAATTGCATAAACTATGTTCTTTTTCCGACATAAAATCAAGACCACCTTCCAGATAGCAGAACTCGAAATTTTCTATGTATTGCAAACGAGGTTAAGCAGAATTTTAATATATAATAATTAAATATAGTTAGTATATTTATCAGATGTAAATTATAGATTTTTTAGTACAAATACTAAATACAATAATAATTGAAATGATACACTGCAAATAAATAAATATTTTTGAAGCGTGAAGCTTTCAACATTTCGAAAAGAAGCATATACGACTTAGGCCACATTCACAATCACTGGCACATGTTATAGTACCAATTTTTAAGCGTACAACTTTTCTGGAGAAATATTTGTTTTACTCGAGATGTAAAATTTAATTTATCGTACAACTCGACAAGTACATGCTTAATATTTTTATACTCGGTAAGTAGGACAATAAAAATTGCGAAAGAAATACGGCATTAAATTGATCTTTCTTATTGCGTCCATTCGCTAAATTCCTTTATAAATGTACTCGCTTTTCTTCTCCAGCATTCGTATAAACAAAAAGTCATTAGTAAATTGAAAAAAGCGACGAGAGAAGTTTAATTTAAATTGCACTCACCTCTTCGTGTTCTTTATGAAATCGCTCCTTCTTTCTCAGTGCCTCTTGAACTTTCAGCTGAAAAATACAAACCGGTAAAGATCTCTCTATAAATCGTATTGACTGAAAGCTTAAAAATAGTATCGACGAATGTATTAAAATATTGATACAATTTTTTATGGCATAAATATGAATAGATAAATTCTAATTAGAATAAACAGTAAATATTGAATAGATTTTTGTGGTTAATTATAAATCATTGCTTTTGTCACGAGAGATTAGCATGGTTAACCCTTTGCACTCGACGATTTTTTCGTTACAGAAAAATAGTAATTCGAGGACTTTCTGCCATAAAGTCGACGATATTTTTATATATTCGTATAAATTTGATTACAGTATTATCTGAAAATAGGTTCCATAATTGACCAAAATTGGCAAATTGACTAGATTTCGTCAGCAATTTTGTTTCTAATGAAATAAACTTTTCAAGCGCGTGCAAATAATAAAAAAATTCTCTAGTTATCATAATTCTCCACTTATATTAATCATTTGCATTCCAAGAAACTTTTTAGTCCATCAAACAGCGACTTCAACACTCTTTTTGAGTACATAGTTTCCGCATTTTCAAATAATTCTTACTTCTAAAAATGAAAAATTCGAAATGTGAATTTATTTATGCAATAAACTTGCTTCTCCATCTTCATTAATGAAAACGAAGTTAAATAATAAATTACGGTTTATCAGTGTCATCATAACGGCACCAGTAAAGTACAAAGGATCGAGTTTAAATATTAACCCTTTGCGCTCGACGATTCTTTTGGCTAAAGAAGGGTACGAGTTGAAAAATTTTGTGCTGTTAAGCTGATGATATTTTTGGAGCAGTAAATAAGAAATCGAATAATAATTAACGCGTAGAATTATTTAATTTCGATACCCGGCACACTGTTAGATTATTTTAAATTTGATATATTAATTAATATCTATCTTCGAAATCTTATCAAATGGCGACTGAAGCTCGCCTCTCGAGTGCAAAGAGTTAATAAAATATCGAAATAAGTAAAATTAGAAAGTGTTGAAATATGCAGATAATAAAATATCGATATAACAAACATTCATTATTTGTTTTTGATAATGTAAAAATTATTATTCCAGAGAAGCTCAAAGACACGAATTATAGACTATTAACTTATCAAAAATAGGAAACATAAATTACAATTTATTAATTTATTAAAAATACAACACATGAATCAGTGTTTACTGATTTATTATAAACAGGAAATACCAATTATAATTTAACTCCTTAAAAATTGAAAACACGAATTAACGTTTACTAACTCATTCAAAATTGAAAACACGAATCAGAATTTATTAATTTACTAAGAATTGGTGTTTGGAAATGTGTAAGAGAATTTGTTACAAATAGATTTACTCTAATTTCTTGTAAAAGTATAAATACCAAAAGAATAGAGAGTTTCATAACAATAAATGGAAATCTTAAACCAATATTTCGAAAGTCGTTTATATAATCTAATGAAAGCATCCATGAAACCGTAGAAGATACGGAAAAATATTTCAGATGAAGCTCATATAATATCAAGAATGATAAATTATGCTTACATTCGTTTAATCTTGTCATGATCTTGAAACGATTCAAGAAAGCAAAGATTAAATTTGTATACATAAATCTACATTTTTCACTACGTATTCTTGTAGTTGACATCGAGACGTTTCTAAAACACTACCCAGTTACATATTTTGCATGGACCGTTCTCGAGATATTAATTTTCAAAGTTGACTCGCTGTCGTATTAGCATTGCTTGACGTGAAGTCCGTGGTGCGGGCTCAGCTCAACTTTGTCCGCCATTGTGGCGTTGGAATACCAGCGACCTGTTAATTTCAATCGTTCACATCTCGAGAACCATTTGTGCAAAAGGCACAAATACATGGTATTTCAAAAACGTTTTTATGCGAACTATTAGAATATATAACGAAAAATATAAGATTCCATTAAAAAATTTACATTAATCACGTCCCATATACTATAGTCACATTAATAATAAAAATATCGTAGGATACCATTTCGCAAAGAAATCACGAATCGGGCATTGCCAACAAAAACAAATTATAAACCGATCAATATTTTCTAGAAGCAAATGGAAAAGTTATTTTGGGTAACGAAATTAAGTTGCGCGGTCCCTACGGGGAGGTGAAGCGTAGGTTAACCCTTTCGCTACTACGAGTGACTATAGTCACCGGTCATGAGACGCCATCTACACACGACGGGTGACTATAGTCACCGATCACAAAAATTGAGTAAAAATTAAGACGAGTGCTACCGTTCCTCTTAGCTCTCTTCGCAAAGAATTGCAAGCTCTATTGCGATGGTCAGTTTTTCCTTTTCCTTTTTTCTTCAAAAGATTTGCGTCGAAAGACCGAATGCTAAAGACTGCATGATCGTAATGTTGCCATCTTTGACACCGCACTGCGTTCTACGGAAGAGACTTCGCGACGACGCTCGCCGTAGCGAAAGGGTTAAGAAAAGCATAAAAGCATGGTCCTCGACGAGCAAAACAGGGTCCTTAGAAGTCAATTGTGACCAGCACGAGCGTGAGTCGCTCGGTGTTGGAAAGAGAGTTAAATTAGAGTGCGTCTTTGTGTGTTTTCGTTTCGTTATCTTGGTGTTCTTTTCCTAAGTAAAATTAGTTTTACGAGTCTTGTGTTTGTGCTATTCTGTTCTTGTTGTTCTGTCAATTTTTGGTGTCTCAAAAACAGTTTTCGCCATCCTACGATATCGTTAAATTAATATTTAATATATTCGTTTAAATATAATATCTGCGAATAATAGGAAGGGTTGAAGGCAGTTCACGCGTATAAATGGGGATACTTTGGAGATACACGTTGCAAAAGAATTTTACAGCAAAGTTACGTAGATGGAATAGAGAGAGATAATTGTTATCAAAGTTATCTATAAGATAAGCAGCTTCATCTGCAATTCGACAGATGCCATTTTGTTAAAAATAGTCATCTGCAAGAGGTAGATATTTGTTGGAATGCTAGATATAAGTCGAGACATCTTACATTTAACGTCAATGTTAAAACGTTTTCTTTCTATTACATACAGGAGACCCTCCTATAACACGGTAGATAGGTTCCTAGAAAATGCCGTATTGTGTGAAACCGTGTTGCATGAGACCCAGAGCCAGTACAAAAAGGGGGGTTACTTACTAAAAACAAATTTTTTTTAATTTTACATAAACAACTTAATTTTTATTAAAAATATAAACGTATGTACAATGCAAAACCAAAAAAGAAACAAAAATATTATCTTAATTTAACGCAACTTTAATTTAATAAATTTCTTCATCGTCACTGCTCATATAGAAGTACAATGTTGTATAAAGGTTTTCGCAATTTTCTCATCGTGTTAGAGCGAAACCGTGTTATAGGATGCCGTGTTGTAGGAGGGTTCCCGCAAATTATGAATCGTGTTATAGTGAAACCGTGTTATAGAATGCCGTGTTGTAGGAGGGTTCCCGCAATTTATGAATCGTGTTATAGTGAAACCGTGTTATAGGATGCCGTGTAGTAGGAGGCTACCTGTACAAATGTATGATTGTGTACGTGTCGGTCGCCAGCCAAATTCCTTTGTTCAAACGAATCAGTCTCTAAGCAATCGTTGTACAGCACACACCGATCGAGTTGCCAATTATTAAAGCGTTGCCTTTCTATAATTAGTGTTCCTTTCTTTTTAACTCCACTGCCATCCCAAATTCTATCAATATTTACATGCACAATTAAATATCATAATTGTTGAAGTTGCAAAATATAAACATTGTTAAATACGCAGTTTAAATACGTACATATGTGATTCATTATATACTCAGAAGTTGAGATAATCAAAGCTATACTGTATACTATAAAAATTGATATACAAAAATAATTGTGTAAAACTTTTCATGTAAATTCAATTTTTTATAAAGTAACCTATAAATATAAATCGTCGAACCATCCTACAATATTAATTCATAAAATCGTATTATGTCGATAACGTAATATGTATAATATATGATTGCCATGATGGAGTAATATATTTAAATATAAATAACTTCGTTAATTAAGTGATAAATATATTCTACCACGAAACGTATTTTATTTATCAGAAGCTTCAGGAAACATATTCGGTATAAAATATACCCTCTATTTTTATGAAGACAATTTCTTCATCGCTTTATGGAGGCTATTCGCGGCTGACTGATAGCCCCTGTTAATCCTGCTATGCCTCTTTTAGAGCTGTATTAAAAAGTCTTGCGATATATATTTTGAACGAACACAATGCAAGATTAATAATATTTCGTCACTTAAATACCGAATTGCAATGATTTATTTAGTTATATTCTTATTTCTACAAACTAGTACCTAATATATTATTATACTATAAATATCATGTATTTTCCATGTACAACAAGGGTTCTTGTTTGTGGTCACATGGTCCTGAGTTCGTTTGGACATTTAGCGAATAATTACTCAGAAATCAACAATTACCCACAAATGTTTTAATTTAACGTAATGTCAACAATTTCCCTTGGTTCTGTGGGGGTCCTCCCCCACCATCATTTGAGGGCAACTGGTCGCAGGTACCCCTTAATCCATTCGAGACGACGGTTCCTTTCGAACACGGTCCCCAGGAGCGACTACTCAGAATAACAGATAAGGGCTCGTTGTTATTATTGCACACACGGCGTGCAACCGGTCTTATAGCCTCGGAAATCAATTGCACACACGGTGTGCAGTCGGTCTCGAATGGGTTAAATGGTGGTGTGGCTAGAGGGGACGGTAGGAAAAGGAAGGGATGCGTTTCGTCCTGGGCCTGCTATCGGACTCATCACTAAGGCTACCTGTATATCGTCACTAGGTCGATCTCAGTTGGCGACGGTTAATGACGGACCAAATTTCATTGAGGAAGGTTGTGGTTAGTGGACTGTATTTTAGGTAGTAGTTTCGGATAACTCTTCTGATCTGTTCGATTGCTATTGACTGACTGACTGTGCGATGCACGATCTTTCGAAGCCCAGGATTGCCCAAAGGGAAATCGATTTTCCCATTGGTGTTTGACAGGACCTAGGATGGGCCCTCGGTCCGCGAATCAGGTGCCCCCAAAGAAGGGAGGAACGTCTTCCGCGACCAGGTCTGCCGGTGGAGGAAACCTCTCCCTCAGAGGGGGTTGCTGATGGGCCACTCGCACATTCGTGACCCGCTACTTTATGGCTTCGAAAGTCGTGACATCGCACATGGCCTAGTCCTTTCTTTTGCAAGCCTATTTGTCAGCCAAATCCTTAGTGCTGTTGCCTGCTTTCTAAAATTAATGGCTAAAGAATGCCTCGTGTCCCGTGACCCGAGGGAAATAAAGAATTGTTTGTAAAGTGTATTGAAAATGAAGAAAATAGAAGACACGGAATTTGAAATAAAACAGCAATTAGGATCTGGCTGACAGAAGACCTAACGGGTCTTCTGGGTCTGGGGTTTGTCCCAAGATGGGACAATGCGTATGATTCGATAATTCTAAACACAAGGATTAACACTACCCTAACAGGTCCTGCCTTAGACACTGGGATACTATCGGAAGGTCGAGAAGTTACAGGGATTGGAGATTTTCCGAGGACTTGCGGGAAAGTCCTCGAAGACGAAATCCATCTAGCGGTGAGGGTGAGAATGATGGTCGCTACAGTTCATTTTACGTGTGTTAAAGAATCGTCGAGCGATGTGGTTCATGATGATGAACTAACTGTGTTTTGGAACCAAAAGCAATCAGGAGCTGCCAAAGGACGAACGTTCCTTAATTGGTTGGACCAAGGGTATTCCCATGGTTCTCGAATTGGTCATCCTGAAGCAGGGGGAACGTCCTCCATGGCAAGGTCGATGATGGAGGAAACTACTCGGTCAGAGTGAGGTGTTTGAGGGGTCATCAGCACGTTGGAGATCTTTTCTCGAGAGGTGACCGCGATGACGTGACTTTTGATTTACGACTTCGAAAGCTGGGGTCACTAGGAACTAGCGTACATGGTCTGGCTTCGACCCCTGCAGGCCTATCGTCAGTTTAATCCTAAATGCTGTCACTTAATTTCGTTAAATTGGATATTGAAGAACTCGTCTTTAGTGACTCAAGGTAATAAAAAGAAATTTGTTAAAATGTACAATAATCAGATGAAAATAGAAAGTATCGAATGTTATATTACTCAGCATGTAGGACCTGGCTGTTAGAAGATCGTAAGGTCTTTTAGGCCTGCTTTTTGATCCACGACGGAATAATTTAAAAATATTTAATCCTAAACAGTTGTATTCTCATGAATTGATGAATAAATAAATAAATAAGGAATCATACCCTATGTATAGTCTCCTCGAAACTGTTCGGTTGACCACCATTCATTTGCAAATATCTCAGTCGATCGTAATCTCTCGGATCCACCATAGAACGTAAAATCGTGTGTCCCATGTCTGGTCCCAGGTCCAATCCACTTTGCAGTACGCTGTCTGGTGTATCAACCTGTCATTGACAAACAGAAAAATATATGATTATTTACTGTTTACATAAAAACAAGTTTCTATATACATTATTTCATATTTATCGAAGTAAAAATTACTGGATGAGACTTATGTTAGGAAATAGGAAGAAAATAGTGACACAGGACAATTTTTCAAGAACGGATTCACTTTCTCGTATCTCCAATTTGAAAAAATTTATAATACTCTCCCACATATGCTACATATGATTATTTCGAAATGGAAAGCAATTAACAGTTATTTTAAACGTATAGGTACGTTCTTAACTTATGCTCATTTATTATTTAATGACTAATTCATTAATATTATTATACTAATAATTGCATCACAAAATCGGTACTAAAATTTTCTAGAATTAAATATATTTTTCAATACTTATTTTAAATACGTAGAAAATTAATAATTAATACACAAAGTCATTAAAGTCAATAAAGTTGTAAATGTAAATAATAATAATAGTAGTTAACATGCAAAGACGTGGAAGCTAATAAAATTAATAATATGTAATTAATTCAAGTTAAGATTGTTGCTATGTTACAATTAGGTCAACTTTTAGAATGACCTACTAAACTTGTTAAAATTGTTACTAAAGGTTCCTAGAGATAAATAATTTTTAAACAATTTTAGAAAATTCCAAATATAATATGCACATAAACGAAAGAATAATAAAATTAATAACAGGTAAATAGCAAAGCTGAAGTAATTGTTACTCTAGGACCACTCTTAGGATACGCCTATGGAAATCTCTTCAGATCTCCGAGTGATTCAACCAGCGATAAAATCGTGGCCGATTTCGGCACAAGCGTGAGATTTATCGTCAAATGGAGAGATCTGACGATAGAGTAGCTCTTGACGATAAATTTGAGTGACGAATTGAACCATCACTAGGATCACCGATTAGCAAGTACCATCTACTCTTTAACACATTTGCATCTGCTTTCTCTACTTTCTATCTTCTCACTTCGTTCTTTGACGTGTCAAACGCCAGTACGACAGGATAGAAATCATCATATAGTGACAATAATCTAACCTCTGTACGAAATTATGAAAATTTGTCGAAGATCTCAACATTTGAAGGTCCAACAAAATATCGTATATTAAAATTGACAGTTGTCACTAATGAAGAAACGAATGACGAAATGTCACAGTTGTTATAACTATATTTACATCGTTCCTGATTCTGCGATGTCAAAAAACGTATAGTTAAATTTGTGAACAATAGAGATTTGGAGTCAGTAGCATCACGACCCCTAGACGGTGAAGTAATGTATAACTGAATTTGTTTCGTCCGAACTTACATATTAACTAACATCCCTGTATCGCGCCACAGGTCACTATTCGGTCGAAGAACCCAAAAATGTCGCGTCGCTTCGCGAATGATTTCTGTGGGGTCGACGGGTTGTAAGGCCGTCTCGCGATCACGTAATGTTGCCCGCCAAATTAATATTGGGCAACTGTTTCAGTTGCACGAGCGAAAAGAAGGTCGCGGCTGGAGTCGAACGATATACTCTTGATGATCTCGATAGGTAGGCTCTAGACTCTTTGACGATTCAAAGAAGACTGCTTGACGATTGGAAGCGAACTGGTCGACGTTTTGAAGAGAAGTCGTGTCTTCGACGATTCGAAGAGAAGTGAGCTCCTCGATTTTCCTAAGATCGGTCTTAGGAAAAATCGGAAGCTCGCCAAATATAATTGGCTGATTTGACCAAGGGCGTTCCCTTGGTCCGCGAATCGGTCACCTTGAAGGAAGGGAAGGTTCCCCCAAACGAAGACGGTAGCGGAGGAAACCCTCTCCTCCAAGGTGAGGTACGTGGAGTCCACCCGCGCGCTGGTGACCCCATCCGCCGTTTATGGCCCCTAGCTAGCGCCTGAGGCTTCCAACGCGTGCAGACCACGTGGAACTCTCAGGCCTATTGTCAGCCAAGTCTTAAGAGCCGTCGCCTAATTTCGTTAAATTAGGGATTTCCAGGATTCTCGTGTTCCGCGACACGAGAAGTCAAAAGAAAAAAGGTACAGCAGTCAAACATGCTGAAGGCATGGAGCGGGAAATTCCGATGCCGAATTGTTCGACCCTAAGACCTGGCTGTTGGAAGACCGTAACGGGTCTTCCTTGTTCCACGACGGAACAAGGAAGCTCGCCAAATATAATTGGCTGATTTGACCAAGGGCGTTCCCTTGGTCCGCGAATCGGTCACCTTGAAGGAAGGGAAGGTTCCCCCAAATGAAGACGGTAGCGGAGGAAACCCTCTCCTCCAAGGTGAGGTACGTGGAGTCCACCCGCGCGCTGGTGACCCCATCCGCCGTTTATGGCCCCTAGCTAGCGCCTGAGGCTTCCAACGCGTGCAGACCACGTGGAACTCTCAGGCCTATTGTCAGCCAAGTCTTAAGAGCCGTTGCCTAATTTCGTTAAATTAGGGTTTTCCAGGAATCTCGTGTTCCGCGACACGAGAAGTCAGAATAAAAATGAAAGCTCTGAAACATGCAGAAGGCATGGAGAGGAAAATTCCGATGCCGAATTGTTTGACCCTAAAGACCTGGCTGTTGGAAGACCGTAACGGGTCTTCCGTGTTCCGCGACGGAATAATCATCATCTTACAATATATTAATATATTAATAATATTTATAATATTTATTAATATTACCTATTTTTCAATATTTGTCTCCATAATTTTTCTTGTAATACAATCAATATAATAATTTTTTAATATTATTTACAATTTATAATCCGTGACTCAAAATTCTATCACTTATATTTACAATTTTTCTTTTATTGTAATTAATATCCAATATTTATCTATCTTCTTATCCTATTTCTTCTGAGATTCACATGTAGACTACTTCATCTACCTTGATCACTGACTGATCACTTGACCGGTCAAATGACCAGTCCTGGTAGATCTAGTATTAATAGCAACTGTTAGAATGACTGCAGCGGTTTGTCTTTTACGTCGACTAGTTCACGTGAAAGTGTAAAGTTGAATTGTTTGCGCACATGCCAATTAATCTTGTAATATTTTTATAATTATATCTTAACAGCAGCTGTTAGAGTAATTGCAGCGATTTGTCTCCCGCATAGACTGGTCTGACGGAAAGTGTAAAGTTGAATGTTCCACGCACCTAAATCAATTGATCATGAAATACTTGTGCAATTACGTCCTGACAATAGCTATTAGCAGGTACGAGAACGATTGTCTAAGTTTGAGCTAAATATCACATACAGAGTATTTTTACGTCTACGTCTTAATAGCAGCTGTTTGAATAATTACATTTGTCAACCTGTCACGTCGATTAGCCCAGCTGAAAATGCAAAACGGAATGTTCCATGCACTTGTATTGTTAGGCCAATTGTCTGTCTCTCGCATCGATTGGTCTAACTGAAAGCGTACAGTTGAATGCTCCACGAAACAGTCTCAGGAATCACTTATTGTTAGGCTATTTCATTATTAATGCTCCATTAACGGGGTTCTTTCTGTCATGAACAATAATTTATTTAACGACAGTTATTAAATACTGTCAACTGACAGCTAAATTTTATTTTAAGTTAGTAACAATTATAATTATGGCATCGTCGAGTTGGTAATGATTAAAATATGAGATGTGAGATATTTTCTATTACTTTCTTTATTTACAAAAATATTTTTATTCTTTCTAATTATACTAATATTTATAGTATAATTTATAGTATTCAGATCTAGATTTATAGTATAATAATATTTACAGTATTCACAGTATAAATATTAGTGTTACCATTAGTATAAATATTAAAATATCTATGTAATGACAAGTGTATGACCAAAGAGTAGGCGAATTATATTATTCTCTGTAAAAAAGTATTTATTATATACAGTATTTATTTAAATAGTATTTCACTGACATAACACTTGGGTACTCCTCAGTAATATAAAATAAATTAATATAATTCTAATTATTTTACACAGAACACCAACTAAAAACATTTCTTATTTTTAAAAAAAAGATCCATAGATCTATGTGTTCTTTTTCATTAAATTCCTATAAACCGTAAACTTGATACTCCAACAATTAAAATAAATATAGAGTTTTCTGTTTACTCATGTACACTTGGTCTCCATTAAAACTGAAACTGACATGATTAATTCAATCCACCATTTTGGCTTGTAGACCCTTTTTCAGGAACGTCCTCAGGTGTTATTCCCAATAAATAACATTAGACTTGATTAGGACACCACTTGGTGTGCTCTAGAATTACAGTGTCAGCACGACAATCAATCTCAAAAATATAGTATTGTAGATATATATAACAGGAAATAGCTTTAGAGCGAGGATTTTGTTTTAAAACTGGTTTCGTGGGATGATGCTCCAATCCTTTTTGTCTGAGATATATAAAGAAACGTGACAAAGATACCTATGCACTCACTAACACCACTATGAGAAAAGAGAAACTCGGAATTTCTCAGAAGCTCTATTTTCCTCCAACTTTAACTAGCTTAAATCCCGATCATCGATCAATTTCTAAACCACCATTGTATTGACCTGAATACCAAATCAGTATCTCACAGTTGACCAGTAGCTCATTCAGCAACTCAAATACCCCAAAAACGAGATTCCTTTCTATCAGAAAAGTCGACAGATCTTATTCTTAGATACTCTTCGCTAGCCTTCAGCAGCCTAGTGAAACGAACTGATTAAAAGTCGACGGTGCTATTTATCTCGTCACCCCTTGCTAGTCGCTAGCCAAGATAGATGCGCTACCTTTTTGGAGTATAGGGTATTTTTGGAGTTAATTTGACCCCTGGGAATCGAAGAGAGCTTCGGTTCTAGAGCAACGCTATCCATCTCACCCTTTTGGACAGACCTCCTAGGTTAGCACTTGCCTCTCCAAGGTGACTCGGCGTCCAACGAGTTGGGACTAGAGGTCAATAAGGGAGACAGGTCCAAAGGGGAGCAGTCGTGCGTTCACTGATTGCT